TTGGGCTATATGGCCATGTTCTAGAGGCATTATCTCCTGACGTTTCACCCGTGTCTATGACAAGCATCCACAGAGGTAGGCCCATAGCCAGTATTTTGATTGGGGGGGGGGGGGGAGTTTGATTCGGGGGGGGGGCTCAGGATCTACCCTAGCAAACCTTTTGTATCATTATCCCAATACCCCCATGCATATGGGATATATTGAGCATGGTGATCAGATCATGATATGAATAAACATAACAGTTTAAATAATGTACCAGTAAGGCCTTTTCGCGGACCACTCTGAGAATTTCAGGGAGGGGGGCTGAAGCCCCTCAAGCCCCCCCCCCCCCCCCCCAGCCGGGCCCCAACTGACCTCACAACTCTGAGGATACTTGCCATAGATGCAGGCGAAACGTCAGGAGAGAGTGCCTCTAGAACATGGCCATATAGCCCTAAAAAAACCCTACAACAACCCAGTGATTCCGACCATGAAAACCTTCAACAATAGATTTACATTTTCTCATTGTTACTGCTCTTATTATTATTATTGCACGGAGGGTTTTTTTTTTCTCGTGTCAGGAGTGACTTGAGAAACTGCAAGTCACCTCTGGTGTCAGTGAATTGGCTGTCTGCAAGGACGTTGCCCAGGGGATGCCCAGATGTTTGATGTTTACGCCATCCTTGTGAGAGACTTTTTTCAAGTCCCTGCATGGGAAGCTGGAGCTGACAGAGGGAGCTCAGCCTGCTCTCCCTGTATTCGAACCAGTGACCAGTCAGTCAGCAGTCCTGCTGGCCCAACAGGGACAAGGAGTAGTATTGCCATTCAATGCCTTGGAGAGGCTCTCTAGGTTCAAGACAGACGAGACAAAGGGTGTCACTCAACAGGCAAGAGTTGGATCCTGATATTGAGCTGTCTCTTGAGATGGTGTGGCTTGGTGCAGTTCTCCCCATTCTATCTTATTATTATTTTTCTAGGTACTTAATAATATTAATAATAATAATAATCTTTATTTATACCCCACCACCATCTCCCCAATACTATCCTATTGTTTATTTATCTTTTCTCATTGTTACTGCTCTTCATATTATTATTGCAAAGAGGGTTTTTTTTTCTCGTGTCAGGAGTGACTTGAGAAACTGCAAGTCGCCTCTGGTGTCAGAGAACTGGCTGTCTGCAAGGACGTTGCCCAGGGGATGCCCGGATGTTTGATGTTTACGCCATCCTTTTGAGAGACTTGGTGCCGCAGTAGGTTAAACCTCTGAGCTGCTAAACTTGTTGACCAAAAGGTCACAGGTTCGAATCTGGGAAACAGGGTGAGCCCCAGTTTCTGCCAACCTAGCAGTTCGAAAACGTGCAAAATGTGAGTAGATCAATAGGTACCGCTCCAACGGGAAGGTAACAGCACTTCATGCAGTCATGACCTTGGACCACATGACCTTGGAGGTGTCTATGGACAACGCCGGCTCTTCAACTTAGAAATGGGGATGAGCACAAACCCCCAGAGTTGGACACGACTGGACTAAATGTCAGGGGGAAACCTTTACCTTTACCTGTGAGAGACTTCTTTCATGTCCCTGTATGGGGAGCTGGAGCTGACAGAGGAAGCTCAACCCGCTCTCCCTAGATTTGAACTGCTGACCAGTCAGTAGGGAGTCCTGCAGGCCATTTAACCCATTGTGCCACCAGAGACAAGGAGTAGTATTGCCATTCATTGCTTTGGAAGTTCAAGACAGACAAGACAAAGTTCAAGAAGTTCAAGAAGTTCAAGACAGACAAGACCCAACAGAAAAGAGTTGGATCCTGATATTGAGCCATCTTCCTTAGGAATAATCTTGAGGTGTGACTTGGTGCAGTTCTCCCCATTCTATAATATTCTTTTTTTAGGTACTTCTTCCAAAGCTATCCTATTCTTTTATTTACATTTTCTCATTGTTACTGCTCTTTATATTATTATTTCAAGGAGCTATTTTTTTCGTGTCCAGAATGACTTGAGAAATTGCAAGTCGCTTCTGGTGTGAGAGAATTGGCTGTCTGCAAAGACATTGCACAGGGTGTTTGATGTTTTACTATCCTTGCTGGAGGCTTCTCTCATGTCCCCGCCTGGGGAGCTGGAGCTGACAGAGGGAGCTCAACCCACTCTCTCCGGATTTGAACCACTGACCTGTTGGTCGGCAGTGCTGCCGGCACAAAGGTTTAGTCCAGGTATTATATGACCTGAGGACCAACTCTGCTACTTGAAGCTAAAATGGTTCCACTATAAACAGTGAGATCAGAAAGAAAAGAAATGCAGAAAGGAGAGGAAATCATCATTATCTTCACTGTGAACTTTTAACAAAAAATAGTTAGCTTCAATTCCCTAAAGCAGTGGTTCTCACCCTTCCTAATGCCACAACCCCTTAATTCAGTTCCTCATGTTGTTGTGACCCCGACCATAAAATTATTTTCGTTACTACATTCATAACTGTCATTTTGCTACTGTTATGAATAGCAATGTAAATATCTGATATGCAGGATGTATTTTCATTCACTGGACCAAATTTGGCACAAATACCCAGTATGCCCATATTTGAATACTGGTGTGGTTTGTGGGGGAAATTGATTTTGCCATTTGGGAGCTGTAGTTGCTGGGATTTATAGTTCGCCTACAATCAAAGAGCATTCCAAACTCTACTAACAATGGAATTGAACCAAACTTGGAACACAGAACTCTCATGACCAACAGAAAATACTGGAAGAGTTTATTGGGCATTAACCTTGGCTTTTGGAGTTGTAGTTCACCTACATCCAGAGAACACTGTGGACTCAAACAATGATGGATCTGAACCAAACTTGGCACGAATACTCAATATGCCCAAATGTGAACACTGGTGGAGTTTGGGGAAAATAGACGTGACATTTGGGATTTGTAGTTGCTGGGATTTATAGTTCACCTACAATCATAGAGCATTCTGAATATTATTATTATTATTATTATTAATAATAATAATAATCTTTATTTCTACCCCACCACCATCTCCCCAACGGGGACTCGGGTGGCTTACATGAGGCCAAGCCCAGACAACTCATTACAGCAAAATAAAACCAAAAACATAAGCAACAAGCAACAGCATCATAATCACATAAAAACATGTGAATACAATAACAATATAACATTACAATAAACACAATCACAGTGACAGTGGGCGGGCCACATGTGCAGGATAAAATGTTAAAAACTCGAATGAGATAAGAAAAGGAGCAAGTTTTTTACAAGAGGGAGCTCACAAAAAACACAGGGTTGTGGAACCAAACAATAGAATTGGGCCAAACTTCCCACACAGAACCCTCACGATCAACAAAAAATACTGTGTTTTCTTATGGTATTTGGAGATCCCTCTGACACCCCCTCGTGACCCCCCAGGGGTCCCAACCCCCAGGTTGAGAAACAGTGCTCTAGGTTCAAAAAACATGTAAACCTAAAATATGAAATCAACGTGGTACTTGGGATTGGGAGGAAGCTACAATATTTCCCACCACTGTATCCAGGGTAGTAGAATTAATCTGATCTGGCAGAAGTGATTATACATTAGGAAAAAGAGGTGGATGAATCCATACAGGGAACTCGTTCCTAGAAAGTTTGGGAAAGTGATGCTTCTGAATGTTCATCATCATATCATCATATTTAATTACTTATTAATCGCCCTCCATCCGAGATGCTCTAGGCGATTTACATGGTGAAATTGTACAGAATAAAATACATACAAACAGATATTAATACATTAACATAGGTCAAATGCTCTAGTAAAAAGCCAGGTCTTAAGTGCTAGAGTAAAAGGCCCTAAGCATGGCTCTCATATAGGGAGGCAAGGAATTCCATAAGGCAGGGCAGAAATAGAGAAAGCCCTGCGCCTGGTACTTTCCAAATGCACTTCTCTAGGACCCGGTATATAGAGTAAATCACGTTGGGAAGGACGTGTTGACCTCCGGTGATGGAAGAAGGAGAGACGGTCTCTAAGATAGGATGGACCCTGGCCGTATAAAGTTTTAAAGGTCAGGACTAGCATCTTATACAGGCCACGATAATCAATTGGAAGCCAATGTAAATGTTGCAGCACTGGTGTTATATGGCCTTTCATAGGCAATTTTGTGAGTAACCTGGCTGCAGCATTTTGAACAATACAGAGCTTTCGGGTCGTAGACAAAGGAAGGCCAACCTACAAGGCATTACAGTAGTCCAGCCTAGATGTGACCGTGGCATGGGTGACTGTTGCCAGAGCCTTGTCCGACAGGTAGGGTGCCAATTGCCTCACTTGTCGTAGATGGAAAAAGGCCTGTTTGCTGGCAGCAGTGACCTGAGCTTCCATTGTCAGCTGCGAATCCAAAACGACCCCTAAGCTCTTAACCAGTGGTTCTCAACCTTTCTAATGCCGTGACCCCTAAATAAAATTCCTTATGTTGTAGGGACCCCCAACCATATTCACCCACACGCTTGCCAATGCCAGAGAGCATCCCTCTCCCGACATTCGCAAGTGCGCAGGGGAAGGGCTGGTGGAGAGATCGCGCACTGTGCACCAGCTCTCTTCCCCCACACACTTTCCAACACCGGAGAGTGTCCCTCTCCCTGTGTTCGCAAGCAGGTGGCAGAAGAGCGCACTCCCTCCACTGTCCCCTGGGCGTGCGCTCCCTCCACCAGCCCTCATCTATCACACTCTTGCCAATGCCGGGAGAAGATCTAGGCTTCTTGGGGCCTTTTTGGCACCCTTTGGATGGTGCATGGAGCATGCAGGAGGAGGCGGGGCCTAATGAAGTTGCTCCACGACCCCTCTGAATTGCCAAACGACCCCTCTGGGGGTCGCGACCCCCAGGTTGAGAACCGCTGCTCTTAACGATAGGCGATTGAAAAGTTGTGCTATATTGTCCCTCATCCTGCATTCTTTTCCCTGACCCTCTCCTCCTTTTACATGTATTTTTTTGTTGCCTTCCTTCTCACTGATGGGCGTTTTGCTTTGTTCTCTCTCTGTTTCTCTTTTGCATTTCAGGTGAGCTTGATGCTGAACGGGTGGCCTGTGATTTCGGCCTTCGCTGGGGACCAAGACGTCACCCGGGAAGCTGCCAGCAATGGAGTCTTGATCCAGATGGAGAAAGGAGACAGAGCCTATTTAAAACTGGAGAGAGGAAACTTAATGGGAGGATGGAAATATTCCACCTTCTCTGGATTTCTAGTATTCCCTCTTTAAACAACTTGCCTGCTGGAGGAAGGGGGAAAAGGGGCCACGGAAGCCTGAGATTTGCTTGACCGGCTCCTGAATCGTAGCTGGAGAGACACAGCTTTGGACCTCCTTTGGATCATGTCTACATATTACAGAAGTTAAATCCTTACTTAGGTTTGTGTACATTGCTTGGAAGAGCTTCGTTAAGAGTGCAGCCAAGAGGCAGAAGATGCTTGAATTCGCCACCTTACGATAACACTTCTTTATTTTTCTTCTCCTCCTTTGCAAACTGAATTAGTTTTCTCTCCCTTGAACCGGTTTATTCTCATCGCCCTCCTTTGCCAACATCTGTATGTTTTCTACTTTGCACTATCCGTTTGCGATCGACCTTGGGTTTCTTTTGATTGTTACAGATATATTTTTACTCTTTCCTTGAGTTGAACCTTTTTGCATAATGTCTTTTTTGAATAGGTGGCCACCATTGGTGAGAGAGAGAGACATGCAATGCAAACCACGTTTATGCTAACCAAGCAAACCGGGGGAAAAAAATATATAAATAGAAATATATACACATCAACATGAACTATTATAGCCAAATCCTGATTTTCACTATTTCTATGTAAATCTGAGTGATTGTGGAATTTACAGGCTGCTTAATGTTTTGATGCATTCTTTTTGGTTTGGGTTAGTATTATGATTTTTATTTATTTTTATTTTTTTGCTCTCGTAATTGTGGCCCAACTTACATGCCAGAAAGTATATGGAACTTTGACTCATTAACCTGTAAGATAAGAATATTGTGAATATGAACCAGTATTGATTTCGGATTTAGTTTTCAACATGTTTAAATAGGGTTATGGATTTTTATTTCAGGGTTTTCGTTGGTTGCTTTGTTTGCATAGATGAGAAATCTGGTGCAATCTTATTCAGCCTTAGAAGGAGGAAAGTAGAAAATGCAACTAAACAAAAGGAAAGGGGAGATCCTGGGTTGTTGTGAGTTTTCCAGGCTGTATGGCCATGTTCCAGAAGCATTTTCTCCTGACATTTTGCCTGCATCTATGGCAGGCACCCTCAGAGGTTGTGAGGTCTGTTGGAAACTAGGTATATATCTATGGAACGTCCAGGGTGGGAGAAAGAACTCTTGCCTGTTTGACATAGGTGTGAATGTTGCAATTGGCCACCTTGATTAGCATTCAATGGTCTAGCTGTTTCAAGGTCTGGCTTCTTTCTGCCTGAGGGAATCCTTTGTTGGGAGGTGTTTAACTTGTCCTGGTTTTCTCTTGTCTGGAATTCCCTTGTTTTTGAGTGTTGTTCTTTAAAACAGGGGAATTCCAGACAAGAGACAATCAGGGCCAGTTAATCACCTCCCAACAAACGATTCCCCCAGGCGGTAAGAAGCCAGACAAGAGTTCTTTCTCCCACGCTGGACATTTCACAGAAATATAAACCTCATTTTCCTAGTTTCCAACAGACCTCACAACCTCTGATAATGCCTGCCATAGATGCAGGTGAAACGTCAGGAGAAAATGCTTCTGAAACATGGCCATACAGCCCAGAAAACTCACAAAAACCCAGTGATTCCGGCCATGAAAGCCTTTGACAATACAAAGGGAAGATACATGTTCTCGTCTACTTTTTGTTGCAGGTTGGTTCTGATTGTGATAATGCAAACAGGGAAAAACACAGACTTCAATTGCAGGTATCTAAGGCTAGAAAGCAGTCCTTCTTCTCAGGTTCTTTTGTTCTGCCTCTTCTGAACTGTTTTCCAAAAAGGCAGTAATTGCCAATGTGGGTTGTTTAACTATATCAGCTTCAGTAAACATCCCCTCAGTTTGATAATTTGAGATTCCATTCCAATGTTAGAGAGGGAATGCCCACACAATTGCCCTGCTTTGGAATCGTACCGTATATACTCGAGTATAAGCCAACCCAAATATAAGCCGAGGCACCTAACTTGACCACTAAAAACTGGGAAAACATATTGACTCAAGTACAAGTTGAGGGTGGGAAATGCAGCAGCTACTGGTACATTTCAAAATAAAAATAGATATCAATAAAATTACATTCATTAAGGCATCAGTAAATTAAATGTTTTCAATATTTGCCGTATTCCAAAGAAAAACAGTAAACGAGCTCTGTAAGTGGGAAAGTTGGATAAAAAATATGGTATCCACAATAACTTTATAATCATATTAATAATAATAGAACTTCATTTGTATCCCGCCCTATCTCCCCATAAGGACTCAGGCCGGCTTCCAAAATAGTAACAGCCAAACATTCCATGCCTATATAAACAGTGCAGAGGTAGATATAGATCTATAATTATATATACTAATTTCACATATGCATTTCCCCCTGAAACGTTTGCAAATCCTCTCTCTATATGTGCATTTCCCTCCTGCAATATTTGCAAGCCCCATATATCTATATTCATATATATCTTTCTAGACATCTCTCTATATATAGACAACTAGCCGTACCCATCACGCATTGCTGAGGCCAACCTTCCCTCCCTCTTTCTCCTTCTTTCCCTCATTCCTTCACTTCCTTTCACTTCCTTCCTACCTACCTACCCCTTTTTTTCTTCCCTTCTCTCTTTCTCTACCTCTTTCCTCCCTTTCCTTTTTTTACCTTCTCTTTCTTCCTCTCTACCTCTTTCCCACCTTCCTTCGTTTTTTGCCTTTCTGTCTTTCCTTTCTCTTCTCTCCCTTTCCTCCTTTCTTCTCTCTCCTCTTTCTCTTCCTTCCTTTTTTCCCTTTTCCTTTTTTCTTCCTTCTCCTTCCTCTATAACGATACATTTTATTTCTGACTTGACTCTACTTTCTCCTTCATTCTCTCCTTTCTGATCTTTCCTTTAAACTTTTTATGTCTCTTCTGCTTTATCTCTTCATACCTTTTCCTTCCTTCCTTTTGCTTTTTGCTTCCATCCATTCTTCTCTCTTTCCTTCCCTCCCCTTCCTTCCTTCTTTCCCTTCCTTGCTCCCTCTTTCCTTCTCCTTTTTTTCTTTCCTTCTTCCTTCCTTCCTTCCTTCTCTCTCTCTTTCTTCCTTCTCCTTCCTTCTTCCTTCCTTTCCTTCCTTCTTTCTTTCTTTCCTCCTCCTTCCTTCTTCTTCTCTACCCTTTCTTTCCTTCCCTTTTCTTTTCTTTATCTCCTTTCTTCCTTCTCTACCTCTTTCCTTCCTTCCTTCACTCTTTGCTTCCATGCTTCCTTCTCTCCTTCCTTCCTTCCTTCCTTCCTTCCTTCCTTCTTTCTTTCTTTCTTTCTTTCTTTCTTTCTTTCTTTCTTTCTCCCCTTACCTCCCTCTTCCCTTTTTTCTGTATTGTCATTTAGCTTTTTCATTTAGCTTTTGGGGACTTTTAAAGTCATCACATGATTGTGTTAAACTGGATTATTTATTTATTTATTTATTATTCGAACTTATATGCCGCCACTCCCCTGGGGCTCGGAGCAGCTTACAAGAACAGGCTAAAATCTAACACAATTTAAAAACAATTTAAAAACAGCCATATTAAAAGTCAAAGAGTTATGAGTGATGGTCACTCATTGGTCTGTTAGGGGTGTAGTGTCCAAATTTCGTACATTTCGTCCAGTAGTTTTTCAGTTAAGGTCATCCCACAAATGAACATTGCATTTTTATTTATATAGATTAAAGACTTGCAAACACATTAGAGGAAAATTCATATATAAAATTATTTTTATATATATGCACATATACATACACACAGATATACAGATATATAGGTACCTCTATACATATTTATTGATATCTATATCTACTGTATATAGGATTTGCAGAGACATATGAAGGGAAAATTCATATACAAATAATGTATACATATAGATACAGACATATAGGTATATGGAAATCTCTAGATATCTATATATATACAGGATTTGCAAACATATAAGGGGAAAACTTCCAAGGGAACAAAAATACACATATAAAGTTAATACATTTAGATACACACAAAATGCCAGGAAATTAGATGGGTTTGAAAGAGAGCTATACTATCAAGTAGGAGATGAAATATATCTCCCACCTTCCCTCCCTTTTGCCTGGAAAAGAAAACACACTGTCAAGGGAGCTGAAGAGGAGAGGGAAACATATCATATATCACAAGCAATGGCCTCCAGGCTCCTCTGTCCGGCCTTGGCATTGATCCCATTATAAGCCAAGGATGAATTGCTCAGCTCAAAAAAAGGGGCTGAAAAACCTGGCTTATCTTCGAGTATATACGGTATTTCTCTCAATTCAATCAGATTTTATATAGCTGTCTTATTCAAAAGAGATGGGCAGGGAGGGGAGAGACATAACACCTTGACGACGTTATGCCGACAACGCTAGTCTTTATGATTTGCTAGGATTATTTTGCTGACCGTCTTTCGAAAGATGTAAATGCTATAATTTTTGCAGCACTCTAAAGAGAATAACTACTTTTATTATCAAGGTACGAGTTTAAAAAATACTTTTGATTGTAATCAAAACATAATGTGAAATAAAAACCAGTGGAATAAACAATGTATAAGACTTCTTGGAGAGTGGAGAGCGATCTAAGCAGGCCTCAAGTTCCCTCTGTCCCTTTATTTGGTTCCAAGGTGGATATAGATCAGATCTGGAATTTAATGATATGCCTATAAATCAAAACAATCACTGGATGTAAAGCGCCAATTTCTCAATTCGTAACCATAATGCGGTAGTGGCTGTTAGACAGTTAACATGGGAGAGTTTTCTCTCTGCCTCTCTTTTGCTTCTTCCAAACCTGGGTTCCAAGAAAGAATTTAATTAGCTCCTGGGGGGCAGTTAATTCTAGCTTAATAAGCAATGTGTTATTTTATGGTCGATGTCCCCCCCTTTCCACGCGATCGGCGGAGGGGGAGATGTGTTCATCCTTGTTAATAATCTCACATAGCAAATGGAGATGTCAATGCGTTTTTCAATGCCTTTGGGAAAATGAGCAGAAAAAGTAGGAAAAGCTGGTGTGTTGGGTTGGCTGGCTGTCAAGGGAAACTTCAAGGCCAAGAAGACAGGAAATTTGGCTCTATTCATTGTTCTTAGGGCGAGGGGCAAAAAATTCTGCTTCTAGATCAGTGTTTCTTAGGCGAGGGAGAGTGCGTGAAGCTGGAGGGACTGGACCAACATGAGCCAACAATGTGATGTGGCGACAAAAAAAGCCAATGGGATTTTGGCCTGCATCAATAGGAGCATAGTGTCTAGATCTAGGGAAGTCATGCTGCCCCTCTATTCCGCTTTGGTTAGACCACACCTGGAATATTGTGTCCAATTCTGGGCACCACAATTCAAGAGAGATATTGACAAGCTGGAATGTGTCCAGAGGAGGGCGACTAAAATGATCAAGGGTCTGGAGAACAAGCCCTATGAGGAGCGGCTTAAGGAGCT